ATGGAGAATTTAATTCTCCGTCGAACTGCCCTTTTTTCATCTCTTAATCTCAATTAGGAGGGGAGAGATGAATTTTTAATTACCGAGAGTGACTGTGCGCCGCAAAACAATTATTTTTCTTACTGCGCTGTGATTTCCATGACAGTTTCTTCCTTTTTTTACAGAGATTCAGGCATGAAAGAGTGTTAATTGATGGGTAATTTAGTTTTCCGTCGAACAGCCTTTTTTTCATCCCTTAATTTCAATTGGGAGGGGAAAGACAAATTTTTAATTCGCGGGCGAATGGTGAAAAGTCACTGTGCGCCGAGAAGAAAATTATGTTTCTCACTGGCCCATGACTTTTGTCGAAGTTTGTATTTTTTTGTTACAGAGATTAAGGGATGCAACGGGGATCGATTGATGGCGAATTTAATTCTCCATCACACCGTCTGGGTTTCATTCCTTAATATTAATTAGCCAGCAAATGAATCACCTGAAAAACATTAAGAACATGTTGAGGACGAGGAGAGCATAAATTTCCCCCCGAAATTATCCCTGTCACAGCGGGACTGCTACTGCCGACTTGCCGAGTTACCCGCACAGGCAGTTCGCCCAGCCGTCAGATTCGACCGTGGCGCCATCCCTCCGTTGGGGTCGAACTATTTTTGGCTTGGGGTCACTTCAACCCCGAGATCTGAGCCTCTACTTTAGTCAATCCTCTTTGACTAGACGGGTGAAATAATTTATTTAATAATCGAAAAGCTTCCTAATGGTTCTAAAAATTAATCCAAAAAATTCGAATATTTTTTCCCGGTATACCCAAAAAGTTTCAGATTTTTATCACCTTTTTTTAAGCCTATAGAATTTTTTTACCACTTTTTCCCATAAGGACCTATGTTAATTTCAAACTCAATTATCTCCTACAAAAGCTTTCTAAAGTGCTTGAAACTTTTACTGAATTTGTTTTAGGGTAAACTTAATACAAAAAAAAATTATTCAGATTTTTATCACTTTTTTGACGTAATGCCCTATCATCCTTAAAAAATGGTCGATCATTTTCTATGTGTCAAAAAAATTTCTCGATAGTTTTACGTCTAATGAAAAAAAATCAAATTCTAGCCTAATGTTGATTTTCACGTAAGATGCTGAGTTCAATCCTGACGTTTCAACATTTTTTCATTAAAACACTAAAACGGTTATTAAATTGAAAAAAAAAACATTACGATTGATTCCAAATCGAATCAAGGTTTATGGGAATTCTTTGCAATTCTTACCAATCTTTAAATTTATCAGGGTCAGTAGACTGGGAGATAAAAAATCATGAATCTTTTTCTTTATAAATGTTATTATATTCAAGCAATAACTCAGCTTCAGATAAAAAATTGAATCTCAAAATATAACACGCTCTTAAATTATTGATTGCAAAAAAACGTAGCGTGCACGAAAAGTCAACGTGGATCAAAAAAATATGCCACAAATTTGCGAAGGCCATTACAGCGAAAAATTTCCACATTATGTGTTCATTAATTTCTTGTTCACGTCCTCATGAAATTGTAAACAGGATACCGCGGTGCAAAGTGCCCCTGATTGCCCATCACGTAGTCAGACTCCCCGCGTTCTCTCAGGCTCCTCACAGACCATCCGTATTCTTCGTAAGACGGTGGCGCTGCGTTATGAATAACCAACAGTTATCAAAATGAATTCATGATGAGGGTGCGGATAGAGAATTGGGAATACTCACGCAAATTGGAGTAAACATTAGAGTTGGGTAATTGGACCGGTGTATCATTGTTATCGTGGGGTTGAGGAGGGGCTGTGGGATACCCATCACCAGGGGAAAATGGGGGATATCCACTCGGGTAACCACCATATGTTGGGTCTGCAGTCTTATCTGGATAATTGTCACCTGGTTCTCTCTTACCTGATGGTGAAATTTCTCCTTGGTAATTTGCCAATGGAATTGTGCCAATGAATACTAGCGTATTACTCTTCAGATTCCTGTGGTACCTGTGAAGATAATTGCGTTGAATTAATGCGGGGAAATTCTGGTTTCCGTGACACCGCATTTTGACAATTGATTCTCGTAATATTTTCAGTGAAGAATACGGAGAAATACGAAAAAATTCTATTTCTAATTATTCTGGAGATATCACGCTCAGAAATCGTCGCTTATTATCGCTCCTGCACGGAAACGGAAATCCTGCAAAAAAACTCATGGAAAGAAAAGGGCTGGGAAAAAATGTTTTTCAGTCAAAACCGCATTCAACTAAGGCAGTATCACCCTTGGACCATGATCCTAGCAACTTCTTTTTTGTGATCCTTGTGCCCCTGTGACTTTCGTGAACCCAGTGATGCAGCGACGCGCTACATCCTAACATACACACTAGGCAGGCTCAAAAAACATTTGGTCCGAATTTCAATTGGCAAGTTTATAGAAACGAGAGCTCATTAGTTCAAATGACTGTGTGATTTTTTTCCGATTTTTAGCAACATTTCTAGTGCTTCCGCAAACGATTTGAAAATATACAAAAATATCTGACCCACTGGCAGTTCGTCATTATGGACGTTAGTGAAAAGTCAAATGATTTTATGGCGATCCCTTGTCAGGTAGCAAGAGTGTCGACCCAGTGTGATGTACAAGTGGGCATGTTCTAGGAAATATCTAAAGGTCCTGCCATTATGCTCACTAGTCACAAAATCGTCAATGTTAAGTAAACAACTGAAAACTTTTTTCTTTTACTTTATGTATTTTGAAACGATAATTTCAGATATCTTGATTTCCTTAACTTCGGCTGATCTAAACAGAATTCATCAATAATGTTCTGTAATTACCGCATTGAATAACGTCATATTTATTCATATAAAAAAAAAGTTGGGACGGGAGATATCCTCTCATCTATGTTGAAGAAAATAATTTAGACATTATTCTTTCAATTTTCTTCCCTTATCAATTGAAATGACTTTCTAGACTACTGAAATGATTAAATCATTAACAAATTTTTCTTGCATGCTCTGTCTCGATTAAAGTCAAATTTCAATATAGTGAGAATTAGGCACTGTTCTTTTCCAAGAATCTATAAAGATAGTGCTACAACAATTCAATAGATAATATTTCGATGACATCGGATTGCAGCATCACAATCCGAATGAAATTAATATTTCAATATTCTTAAAAATTTAAATTAGTAACAGATAATTCCGATAATACGATTTGTGAGGCTCTTTTGTGCCTTCAGGGACCTTCTAAGAATGTAAAAATTCTGGGATTTTACGAGGAGTCATTCAGTTTGACGGTCAGGGGCGAGTATTGAGCAAATTTCATAATTTCTCCATTAATTTATGATTGGACAAGCCGAAAATTTTGGGGGTGGAGTTTTTGCCCACTTAATATTCCTTTTACTGGAATACCTATGAATTTTGGGTCTCTCCTCAATCCCTCCTGAACACAGAAAGTCATTTGACGATGCACTACCAAACCAATCACATCGAAATAATTGCTACGTTGATTTTTTTCTCTTCTGTAAAGATTAACAACAAAAAACGTACGAAAATGCCAGAAACGCGACAAGACATTGACATCACTTTCGTCGGTAGTGCAACACCGGAAATTTGTGGAAACCGTTTGCCTTCCAATAGGCAGGTTTTACAGTGTTTTTTCTATCACACGAGACATGTAACACCGAAGCTTACTGCCCGTGAAGCCGCAAAGTGTATTGTGCGGAAGTGTGCCCTTTTTTGGGAATACGCAGGAATCCCAATCGTGCAAGAGTCCTATGCTATTACGAAAGTGGATAATCTAGTGAATTAGTATAGAAATATTCAAAGGTACAGCGATTGTCGAAAGGAGAAATATTTAGTAGCGCAAGTGAAAGAGATCGAGTTCCAACATATGCTAGACAAATTATTTCATTCAATCAGCGGAGTGCACAAATTAAATTTCGGAACAGTGAAATATTTTTCTATAAGACATACACGGTTTTACAGCGATCATTTTTTGATAATTTTTTTCGGTTCCATTGCTCAGAGCAACGAAGAATTTTCTGCCTACGATTCTCCTGATTAAAATCCTGAGAGAAAAAATAATGCCCCCGATTACCACTTGAGCTTCAAAATTATTTGAGGAGAAATCACTCGCGCTTCGCACTCGGGATTTTTGAACTTGCAAAACATAACACCCTCCTTTATTTGCAAAGAAACTATCGAGAAATATCCAATCGTTCTGAAGCACCCACAGTATTATGAACAATTATTTTTATGAGTTACTCTAGCGATAAGTAATGTATATCACATTTATATTAAATTTGTATGATTTAAAAAAATACAGCGTAATAATACATTTTCTAAACTCTATGAACATTCAAAATAGTTTCAATAAAACAACTCCACTTCTAATTGAGCTATAACAATGAACCGAGTGACGTTGAAATCGTAATGTATTGAGGAATTTAACGATGTTGTTTGTCAAGTTAAATTCCAAAACAGTTGACAAACTTAATATTGAAAAACGAATAAACCAGTTATTTATTACGGAGAGAAAGAAAAAAATCGACCTGTGCTAGAGAAGGCTGGGCCAGCGGACTAACCTTCTCCATTTCAGTATATGGCCCTCCATAAAAACACCGGACACTCCCAGCACCTGTCGGAGCCTAAAAGTTTAACAATTTTCTTTTGCATTTTTCTCGAATTTGGACCTGTTGAAAATTATCCTTCTTTTGGAGAATGACGATGAGATAGTTAAACTATCACTTGACGGAATTAAAAAAGGACTGGATCGATTTCGGAGGGCTCTGGAAGCCCCCAAAAATGTCCATTTTCAGCAAAAATGATCCACTTTTATTCGTTAACAAATGGAATGGAAATTGCGAAAGAGCATTATTCATATTATTTGATTATTTGTCAATAGTTTCCCACCAAGTATTCAAGAAAATATGAAAAGTTTACTCATATAATCACGATTCGAAACTTAATTGACTTTTTCACGTGTATAACGTCATAACAAATTCCAAATCGTTGCGGAAGCTCAATATATGGTTCTAAAAATCGGAAAAAAAATCACACAGTCATTTGAACTAATGAGCTTTCGTTTCCGTAAACTTGCAAATTGAAATTCGAAAAAAATGTTTTCTGGGCCTGCCTAATACACACTCATGCGTTGACTACGGTCAGCGATCAGTGTTGACTACAGTCAGTCACGGACCGCTTACCGGATCACACCTATCCATTACTTTTGTGTATATTCCTTAACGTCTTGGAAATATATGGTGATTAATTAACGTAATCGCATTGTTAGTAAATTGAACCTTGCCACAATAACCTCAATTCCTACAGCGACTCCTTTTTGTAATCCTCCCTTGTATTCTTTCGATTGACTCTTCCCTTTAGCCCGTCTTTTGCTCGAAAATGGGTGAAAAGAGAATTTCTCACCCAAAATACTACAGGAATCAAGTGTCAAACTACGGTCCCGCGAAAATCGGAATCCTGCCGATTTATGGAATACCTCATGCTAAGTAGCCCAATGGTAAAACGGATTAAGTCCATAACTTAATGGCTAGAGATTATTTTGAAAATTTTTCGGAAACTGGGGATGTAGAAAAACTCGGGAGAAGAACTTCTTTGATAAAAACTTTGTGGTCATAATTTTTTTCAGATTTTTTACCTTTCTCCATGTACTTAAAATGTACTTAATATGAAATTAAACCAGGAGAGGATATCAAGAAGACTTTACACTTCGATGTTGCGTTTCGAACAAACAGTTCATGCAGCTACAGGAGTAGGATGATGAACCACCCCAATGTAGAGTTGAAAAAGAACTAATTTTTGAGATATTCATGAACTGAAATCTGTAGCGAAGCGGCAAACCGAGATGAATCAACTTGAGAGTAAATTCCTCAACAATTACTCGGAATGAGAAATAGATGAAGAATTTTCCGGAAAATCTTCTCACAGACTAGAATGAAGAATGTCACGATTTTTTAAATGGAAATTTAGATATCCCCTTCAATTGCGGGATATTCCATTAAAAATAAAGTCACCACGTACAACACAATTTTATAGGAAAATCTAGTACTTTCTCTTAGAAATTCTATTGAATTGGAATTCTACTTAATTACAATAGTATTTTTATACAGTTACCATAGAAAATCAGTATCAATTCGTAGAGAAAGAATTAGTTTTTTTCATTGAATTTAAGGTATATTCCTAGAAAACTCGTTTTTCTTAAGATCGTCTCCATGATCTTCATAGATAATCTTTATAATAGTCCCCGGCTATTGAAAAAAAAAATGCTAACCAGCTGTACTACACAGTTTAGGAGATGATGAATAATAAAATGCGGACTTCTAAGACGCGAGGCATAAGCCAAACGGGCTTATGGGCCCCCCCGAACTTGAGTTTTCCATCTTATGACAAAACGGTTCTTATGATGGTCTTAAAAAACTCAAACATGATAGATTGATAAATTTCGAATACGGTGAATTTTTTATAAAATTTTGTACTAAGTTAAACAGGTCAATTTCTGGACGATTTCAATTTCCATTGAATATTCCATGAATAATGAAATAAAAATTGTACCGATTATTTTTTGTAATCGGATCTGGCCTTCCCTGAGCCAATCAGAGTTCAGTATTCAATAACATGAAGTACTTCACAATTAAAATTACAGCGGTTATTTCCCCTTAACTTTTGATAATTTCCCTCTAGCTCTGCAATTGTTTCTCTAACCAAATAACTGTCAAATATTGTCCTGTGGAGTGAAAGAAAGTCTTGAAGAAAGTCAAAATGAGTCGGTTTGGGAAGGATCTGATTACCAAAAATAATCCGTCGAATACCACTCGACCTCCAAAATGAATCGAACATTTGCCTCATATGTTCCTGTGTATCAACGATCGGAATAAGTTTTGCACAAAAATCCCTCGCGCTGCGCGCTCGGGATTTTCCCTCTCTCGTTGCTGCGCAACAAAACAATCGGGAAATATCCGATAATTTTGGAGGTCTCGTGGTATTACTACTGACAATTTCCTCAATTCTGATTTTGATCAATCAGAGTGCCGTATTCGGGGTCATGTGATGCGTTTCACACTGATAATTTCCCCGGCTGCAGGGAAATTATCAGTCTGATATTTTCCCTGTAGCCTGTCAATTTTTTTCTACGAATTTGACAGATATTCCTCACATTTTGGTGAAATGTGTCCTGTAACCCCGAACACTGCACCCTGATCGGCCAAAATCAGAATTGAAGAAATTGTCCTCCGAATACCCCTCGACCTTCAAAATTCATCGGATATTTCCCTCAAGTTTTCCTGCATATCAACGATCGGAATCAGTTTTGCAGTAATCTGCAAAACTGATCCCTCTCGTTGCTATGCAACTAAACATTCGGGAAATATCCGATAATTTTGAAGGTTTGGGGTATTATAGCTGATTATTTCACCTTTCAATAATATCACTCGAGTTTATTCATGTGATCAATTATTTTTTCTATTGATCGACATTTAGTAAAAACAAAAAGTATGGCCAAGTCGTCCAGAAATTACGGGTTTCGGCTGCATTAAAACATTTCTTAATTTAATTGTTCTTTGTTTTATTATTTTGATTTTAAACAATTTTTTTCTACTAAATATTATGTATGTATGTACGTATGTGACCAAAATTTTGTTCAACGATATTTGCTGAACAAATGAACCGATTCAAAAAAATTTTTACGTGTTAATGTGACTTAGAATTAATGAGATTATGGAGACAATCGTTACAGCGGTTCGTCAGTTATTCGCATGAAATTTGCGAAAAAAATCGAAAGAAATGAGTTTTCTTTGAAAATTCAATAATTTTACCGAGAATAATGATGGGTTTTTATTTTTTTTAATACGGCCGATGCATCTACATGAAATTCGATTTCGATTGGATTGTGGGCAAAATCATCTCAGCCGTTGTTATGTTATCCGGATGGAAATTTCACAATTTGCGTTTATTCTTTCTAATAATCATAAAAATGGAAATTGGTCGGGAAGTTATTGGTTCGACCCATAATGAGTCACACCAACTTCAACCCACCTGCAATGGGAGCAAGCGAAGCGAGCGACCAACAACCAGTCGAATTTTTTCTTATTTGATTCAAACAGTTATTGTTGCCTGCATTAACAACACATGAGAACAATAGAAAAACTCAATAACTTATGAAATGCAATGAATTCAGTTATTTTTAATTTTTCCCGAAAATCCATAGGGACTAACTTTTGAGTCCGATTGTCTTGGGATATACCTTAATCAAACGTGACCCTGCCACTGAAATGTATGAAATCTTTGGACATATCCCTACACTACAAAAGTGATTAATTTCCATAGTTACCATCCTTGAACACACGCTTCTATTTTCAGATTATATTCAAGATCGATAATCCCGCAATTGGTCAAGTTTGACGGTGGTAGCGGAGAAATTTCAAGTTTCTGCTCATAATCAGATGTCCCACCAGCCTCCACAGGCCCTTTACTCACCTCCGCGACAACTATTTTTTCAGTTCGTGTGATAACTCTAGGAGTATTGGCTTTGAACGTGATAATCTGGAAAACATCAAATTTTGATATTTAATTCATTCTTCAAGTTCCGTTCAATGTGTCAAACACAATTTGTCACCTTGCGCAGGATTAATTTCACCGTTTCCACTACAATACCCGACTGATTATCCACGTTAACTCTAATAGCCATTGATTGACCGGGCACGTATCCCTTAACTGGGAGAATAACGTTGACTTTCAGTGGTGGTGAGCCACAACAGAGACAGCAAAAAGTTTTGCTCATTTCTTGATGAATGGGTTCCTGGAAAAAAAGATATTTCTTTGCCTTTGAAATTTTTTCATACATGAAATATCGCAAAGTCCCATAAACTCCTTGACAAACTAATTGTAAAATAATTGCATTATTGTTTAAATAATTCAACCCAAATTTCATTCAATTTGTTATAGAATGAATGTATAAAGTGAACAGGTTCAAACCCTAAAGGGTCATCCTACATGAAGGAAATGAGAATGAACATCAGTTGATTGGAGTTAATGAGATTAAAAAGTGATCTCACAACAATCAGAATGTCAGTAAATGGTTTACCGATGCTCTAGCTTCTCTATTGAGGTCAAAGTGTGAAACGACAGTGAACGCTGCCTTCACTTCCTGGTCGAACTTCCATGGTCTATCGATAATTGCCTTTACTGTATAACGCACGTGTCCATAGTCATGTTCAAAGCTACTGGGAAGATTCTGGGGTAAGGCGCATGTGAACGGATAGGAATGTTCACCTATCGGTAGAATGATCTCGTCATCACCTTGAAGAATAAATGAAAGGTAAATCAAGTGAAAAAAAGGTTCAAAGGCTCAAAGGAGGAAAAAAAATGAAAAGATTATTTCTTCATGATCTCTTTCCCTCTTTTGTGTGTTCTGAAAAATATGAAGATTGGTTTCTCTACCAGAAGCTGTCCCAACAACATAAGATTGAATGTTGAAATACTCCTCATGACCAGTGACTGTTTCAGACTCTTTTTCATATCTCCCTTCGTGATTCAACTCCTGTCTGTCTGTAGCCCAACACGTGTTGGCTTCACCCTTAATCTTTACGTTGATACCTGCAGTAGAAACTCCAACATTTTTCTCTTTATTGTCAACTCATATTCAAAAAAATGCCTCGAGCGAGACGAAACAAAGCCAGCGAGGTTTAAATGGGGAGAATTTGCGAGGGAGTTGTCAAGCTTGTATGTGAGCTATAATTATACTCCATTCGAGTTCTAACTTGGGTCTTGAGCAGAAAACTTGGATGTAATAAAATGTCATGCAGCCGTACATTTTTTTTTCAGAAAATTAAGTAAAACTGATAAATTATCGATCAATTGATAATTCATAAATTCTATAATTCATCATGATGTCATTATCAGATTTGTAATTATCGAAAATGAATCACACCGCGTTATCATGAAAAATAATAACATGTTCAATATTGATGCCGATTAAATGAAAGATTGAGTTTAATTTTATTACGAGCCCAAGTATCATCGCATACTCTTGCGATACGTACTGACGTTTTACGTGGGAAAGGTTCTGCTTTACACTTGAAAATCTAACAGTCTACTCAGCAGCGAATAAAAAATGCAGAGGAGAAATGATAGTTTAATGCGCAACACGTACCGCGTATTTTCTTCACTGAGTCCACAACGACGATAATACGCCCTGTCACAGTTTGTCCTGGATAATAGGTACTCCATGGATTATCAAAAACGATTCTAAGTTCCTTGAGACCCATGACACCGGTGTATCCCTGTCACCCGTCACACGCTGGTGTATATGTGTACGAATTTACTATATAGCTTCCCTCGCCACTGCCTCTCTCCCTCTCAATGTACGAAAATGCCGCTCTCGCCTCACGTCTCGTGAATGCCCGACGTCTTCGTATACTATTTTTTATTTATCTTTATTTTTGCACCGTTGGATACATTTTTCTGTTCTATCTATATCTAGTCTCGGTGTCTGCAGCGAAATATACGTATTTTCTGCCCAATGAATCTCGAACTGCTGCGCATGTCTCAGTTACTGTGAGTAATGACGTCTTCATTACTAGGTATGACGGGTTTGGCGCGGGCGTCATTGATACTGAATTAGGATAATCGGGCGAGCCCAGAGGGCAAAGAGGATTGACTAAAGTAGAGGCTCAGATCTCGGGGTTGGACTGACCCCAAGCCAAAAGTAGTTCGACCTTAATGGAGGGATGCCGCCACGGTCGAATCTGACGCCTGGGCGGAACTGCCTGTGCGGGTAGCTCGGCAGTACGCAGTAGTAGTCCCGCTGTCACAGGGATAGTTTCGAAGGGGAATTTATGTCCTCCTCGTCCTCAGCATGTTCTTAATGTTTTTCAGGTGATTCATTTGCTGGCTAATTAATATTAAGGAATGAAACACAGAGGGTGTGACGGAGAATTAAATTCCCCATCAATTAACCCTCTTTCATCCCTTAATCTTTGTAACAAAAAATTAAAAACTGCCATGAAAGTCAGGGGCTAGTAAGAAAAATAATTTTTTCGCGGCGCACACTGACTATTCACCATTCGCCCGCGAATTAAAAATTCACTTCTCCCCTCCTAATTGAGATTAAGGGATGAAAAAAAGGCAGTTCGACGGAGAATTACATTCTCCATTAATTAACCCTCTTTCATCCCTTAATCTTTGTAACAAAAAATTAAAAACTGCCATGAAAGTCAGGGGCTAGTAAGAAAAATAATTTTTTCGCGGCGCACACTGACTATTCACCATTCGCCCGCGAATTAAAAATTCACTTCTCCCCTCCTAATTGAGATTAAGGGATGAAAAAAAGGCAGTTCGACGGAGAATTACATTCTCCATTAATTAACCCTCTTTCATCCCTTAATCTTTGTAACAAAAAATTAAAAACTGCCATGAAAGTCAGGGGCTAGTAAGAAAAATAATTTTTTCGCGGCGCACACTGACTATTCACCATTCGCCCGCGAATTAAAAATTCACTTCTCCCCTCCTAATTGAGATTAAGGGATGAAAAAAAGGCAGTTCGACGGAGAATTACATTCTCCATTAATTAACCCTCTTTCATCCCTTAATCTTTGTAACAAAAAATTAAAAACTGCCATGAAAGTCAGGGGCCAGTAAGAAAAATAATTTTTTCGCGGCGCACACTAACTATTCACAATTCGCCCACGAATTGAAAATTCACTTCTCTCCTCCTAATTGAGATTAAGGGATGAAAAAAAGGCAGTTCGACGGAGAATTACATTCTCCATTAATTAACCCTCTTTCATCCCTTAATCTTTGTAACAAAAAATTAAAAACTGCCATGAAAGTCAGGGGCCAGTCAGAAAAATAATTTTTTCGCGGCGCACACTGACTATTCACCCTTCGCCCGGTAATTAAAAATTCACCTCTCCCTTCCTAATTGAGATTAAGGGATGAAAAAAGGGCAGTTCGACGGAGAATTAAATTCTCCATTAATTAATGCTCTTTCATCCGTTAATCTCTGTAAGAAAAAAATATAAACTGCCATGAATGTCATGGGCTAGTGAGAAAAATTATAGTTTCGCGGCGCAGTGACTCCCGGTAATTAAAAATTCACCTCTCCCCTCCTAATTGAGATTAAGGGATGAAAAAAGGGCAGTTCGACGGAGAATTAAATTCTCCATTAATTAATGCTCTTTCATCCGTTAATCTCTGTAAGAAAAAAATATAAACTGCCATGAATGTCATGGGCTAGTGAGAAAAATTATAGTTTCGCGGCGCAGTGACTCCCGGTAATTAAAAATTCACCTCTCCCCTCCTAATTGAGATTAAGGGATGAAAAAAGGGCAGTTCGACGGAGAATTAAATTCTCCATTAATTAATGCTCTTTCATCCGTTAATCTCTGTAAGAAAAAAATATAAACTGCCATGAATGTCATGGGCTAGTGAGAAAAATTATAGTTTCGCGGCGCAGTGACTCCCGGTAATTAAAAATTCACTTCTCCCCTCCTAATTGAGATTAAGGGATAAAAAAAGAGTAGTTCGATGGAGAATTAAATTCCCCATCAATCGATCCCTGTTGCATCCCTTAATCTCTGTAAAAAAAAATACAAACTACCACAAAAGTCATGGGCCAGTCTCCCCCCCAAAAAAAAAAGAGTTCCTCCGACATTTTTCCTTTTTCCCTGACATTAGGGGTGTGCGAATAGTGTACAAATGGAATGTAATCGAATAATTATATTTTTGGAATTATTCAAAATGGCGAATTATTCGAATTTTTCGAATAATTCGATATTTTTAGAATGGACAATGAATTCTGGAAGTTTGTGAGTGAGACGTCCTAATTTAGATTAGTATTTTATTTTAGTATTATCGCCCACATAAATTTATCAACTGCAAATGGATTCTTGGCATCCCCTCAACCCCTAAAAAAAGTTTCAGCGAAATTGAAATAAATCAAATATTCGAAATGTGTGTGTTCGGGTGTGAGAAGTTCAAATTTTTATTTATATTTGACACATAAAATTCTGAAAGTCACGGGAACACATCTTGAATGGATATTCCAACTGAAAATGTATCCTAGGCACCCCCTCAACCCCCCCAAAAAAGTTCCAGCGAAATTGAAAGTGGGGAAATGTTGGAAATGTAGGTGTTTGCGGGTGAGAAGCCCAAATTTTGAGTTTTATTTGACAAAAAAAAATTGTCACTCGCAAGGGATCATAGCCCACATGAATGTTTCAAATGGACATTGATCGTAGGCACCCCCTGCACCGTAAATTAAATAATTCGAAATGTCGAAAAGCAGACCATTCTGCTCCATCCCCCGCGAATAATTTTTAATTTCGAATGCACTGATTTTGCTTGATTTCGGACGATTTCGAATGATTTCGGAGGTGATTTCGGAGAGCCGAAACAACTCAACAACTCAACAAAACATCATACTGTCAAATACGGCTTCGTCAAGGTTCAAATACCAGTCGACCTCCAAAATTAATCGAACATTTCCCTCATGTTTTCCTGCGTGTGAACGATCAGGATAAGTTCTGCAAAACTTCTCTCTCTCGTTGATACGGAACAACACAATCGGGAAAAATTCGATAATGTTGGAGGTCTGGTGGTACTACTGATTATTCTGCACCATTCAAATCTCGACCAATAGGAACATGGAATTTGATATCACGTGGTACATATGATGTCAATAATTTTTTGGTAATACCATGGCTATTGCTATGCAATAAACAAAAGTTTTCCGTAACAATTTAACCCGAGACAATTGAAGAAACATCAAAAAGCAGTGACATTAGTGAAAATGATTGAGAAAAATAAGACGATTTAGAGGAAAAATGCTTCATTTTGCGACAAAAAAGTCAAATCTCAGTGATCGAGATTTTAATGGGGGGAATAATCCGCCGAATACCCCTCGTACTTGAAAATTAATCGAGTATTTCCCTTCAATTTCCCTGATCAGCAACATGTGCATGCAGTTTGGCATAAAATCCCTCCCGCAAGCGCTCGGGATTCTGATACTGCCAAACTTCATGCACATGTTGCTAAATAACGAAACTGTCGGGAAATACTCGACAATTTTAAAGTACTCGAGTTGTTATAACCGAGATCTTTTTAGTTCAAGAATTTCTTTTTCGAGGCCACAAATGGCAAAATGATTCAAAATACAAAAACCGCGGGCTCTGAAAATAACGAATCAGGGACTTTAGCATTTATTGAATGCAGATACTGTGCAGATACTCTTGGCGATTCTGATTGACTTCCTGTCATCAAGACGTATGTTTTTTTTTCAGTTCAGACGAGTGGCTCGATAATATTGGGAATGAGGAGCTGCGCAAGTTGACTCCCAAAGAGCTAGGGGAACGTCGGATTTGTTCCGCTCATTTTAACGAGTCTGATTATTTTTTCGTTGAACCATCAAAAAAGAGGCGACTTACGGTCGACGCGAAACCCTTCGATGTAAGAAACGCAGTAGGAAATACCATCCCAGCTTTATCTAATAATTATTTCAATGAATCTCAGAATGTGATTCCTGCCCTCCGCGAAGAGCAGCACAATGCTCAGTTTGACACTGTTAGCCCTGTGGATGCAGCACGATTGAAGCGAGAATTACACGAAATATACGGGAAACTCGAAAGACAAAACGTAGATCTCGAAAATCAACGCGCAGAAATAGACCAACAACGCGTAGAACTAGATAAACAACGCGTGAAATACCGCGAATAACGCGTACTTTACTACAAACAACGTAAACAAATTGAAGTTTTACAGCGGAAAATTTCGCGTCGCAAGAAAGCTAAACCAAAGAAACCGAAGAAAGTAAGAGTCGACGAAGTGATTGCCGGCGCAGCACAGCATTTAAGTGGGGAGGAGCTTTGCGCCGTTAAAATGCAACTCCGACATTCGCGAAGACGCGCGTGGGTGCAAGATGAGCAAGAACTCGCGTTACAGATTTATGCTAGGGGACCGAGAGTTTATCGATTTTTCAGGAGAAAAAAAATTATGAACTTACCGTGCCTTACGTTAGTCCGGCAATGGATGAACGAGACTATAATTACTCCTGGATTCAACTCCGGAGTTTTCGCGAAATTAATGGAAAAAGTTAAGCAAATGCAGGATTTCGAAAAAGAATGTATTCTTATGTGGGATGAAACGTCGATATGCGAATTATTAGCATACGACTCGCGTCTGGATTGCGTAACGGGTTTCGAGGATTTAGGTGAATACGGTCGATCGAATAAAATCGGGAACTACGCGTTAGTATTTGTTATTCGAGGACTACGATCAAGTTGGAAACAACCGATTGCCTATTTCATTTCCAATGGTACAGTTCGCAGTGAAATCCTTAAGTGCATGATTGATGAGGCTATACATTGCGTCTTTGATGTTTGGCTTCGGATAAGATTTTGTGTGTGCGATCAAGCCCAGACGAATGCAACCGTCATACGTGCTTTATTCACAAAACCCTCTTAACAAGCTGGCGTGAGCTTACAAGAGGATGCACCTTTCTGTTTGTTCGATGGTCAAAAAATCTATTTTGGCTTCGATGTTCCGCATCTCCTTAAAGGACTGAGGAATAATCTCTTTATGAACGATTATTTGCTTCCACAAGCAAATTCTCGCTCGGATTCACGCCCTCGCGAGGAGG